ACCAACTTTTATAGTATACTGTAGAATATTTACATGCAGACATGTCCAAGTTACTTAAAATGTACCAGCTAAATATTTAAGAATAACAATGCATACATAATACTAAGATTTATAGCACAAATAATAAAGACAACCATAACCACCCATTATAGGTAGGATCCTACAGCTTTTCTGTTGGTGCGGGGGGGGGGAGAGAAGGTCCCCCTACAGAGACCCCCATAATCGTGAGACCCATGTGGACAAGAAAAGAACAATGGACAGAGCTGCATGAGGAGGGGAATGGAAAAAGATAACTCCTCTTCTGCCATGTGCCAAAAGAAAACCTGGTGGGATCCAACTCTATGTCTGCATACACAAGGATCCAGCACAACATTCTTTGTTCTGGCTCATATCTGCCTATCTGTACATGTTTCCAGGTAATGCTCCACTGATACGGATAAAGAGAGTACTCAGAGAGCTGAAACGAAGGGAAGACAGAACATTGTTTGGAAGTATCTGTGACTTTCTACCAGAGAGAAACACCAAAAATATTCACAACTGTAAAATGGGGGGGAAAACCCACACGCATATGTGGAATGAGGCCAAATGTGCAGGCTTAGACACTACAGTAACACCAAAGCAATCCCAGCTCACACTATGTGCTAGTTTACAAACACCACCAACCAGTGACAAGCAGCTACAGTGGTAATGCCAATACAACCTGTTGCCTAGCAACTGAGTGGCTCTTTTTAAACTCAACTGTTAACATGCTTAGAGGGGCCATAGTTTACCACAAGTAACAGAGCTGAACCTGAACACAGGCCCTGCTCTGCAGACCCTGTAGACCTTTTCCCAAAGGACTAATCGAGACAAACAGAAGTATCAGGGCAAGATGAATTAAATGCATTCATTAAAATGCAATTGCACTTAGAAATTTAATAGCATTTAATACGCCTGGAGCAACATATATTTATTATACTGCCTCAGTAATGAGACTGAAGCAAGGTACTGTCAATATGGGACAAAGAACATGCATAAAAACAAAATCAAATAGGGGAAGCTATGGACAGCAGCTGTGAGAATACTTAATTGTAAAGCAGGAAGGAAGCAGGACGTGAGGAGATTCCTAGAGGAGATAGACTGGGAGGGAGTCATGGGCTTGGAAAAAATCTCTACTACTAGTAGACATTTCTGTCAGCAGAACAGGACTTCTGCATCTCCCTCTTCCTGCTGCTGCCTAAAATGATCCTGAAGATTTTTTTTTTTGGGGGGGGGGATTAAAAATTCACATATGCCCAATTCATAGATACTTACAATAGCATCCAAGCCATGGTCTTGAGTAACTTATTTAAGGTCAGCAAAAAGTAAAGTGGAGTGGGTGGGGGAAAGAAAGGAAGTCCTACTCATTATGAAAGAACTTAGCGACCCCTATGCCATATTTTTATATGCATTCTCATCATCTAGAAGAAGAAGAAGAAGAGATTCGATTTGTACCCCGCCCTTCACTTGGAGTCTCAGAGCGGCTTACAAACTCCTTTCCCTTCCCCTCCCCACAACAGACACCCTGTGAGGTGGGTGGGGCTGAGAGAGCTCCGACACAAACTGCTCTTGCGGGAACAGCTGTGCCAGAGCTTGTGACTGACCCAAGGACACATCAGCAGGTGCAAGTGGAGGAGTGGGGAATCAAACCTGGTTCTCCCAGATTAGAGTCCGCACACTTAACCACTATACCAAACTGGCTCTAGCAATACTTCGAAGGAAAAAAACAGTATTTTTTGGAAAATGCCATAAAGAATACTTTCCAAGCATCACTGACTTTCACAAAAAAATCTGAAACTATTTTCAGAAGTAAAATAAAGCCTCATTGGCATGAAATACACATGTGCTATATAGTACTTAAAATGTCTCTCTCTTTCCCCCTCCCTGAACACAGCAACTAAAGATTTAAAAAGAAATACCAAGTAGAATACTCCAGTATGTGCACAAAAAAGTACAAGTATTTACTTAAAACTAAATCAGCAGTACACAGATTGATAAATAAAAGACAATTGCTCAGACATTTGGATACTTAAGAATTATAACTCCTTGACATCATTCCTTCTTTTAGGTAATAAGTGTATTGACTGTTCAGACACAATATAACACACAAACTGAGCAGTTCACTTACCCTGGATGGGTTTTGTGTGCTCTTGGATTTCACAGCGAGCAGCTCCTGTAGCCACATCCCAAACAATGATCTTTCCAGTGGCATCAGCCGAGGCTAAGCGCAGAGAATAAGGCGACCCAATATTGTGGTGATAGTTTTCTTTAGCCCATTTAACCTAAAGACATGAAATACAATGGACAGTCATTTGTAACATAAATTGGAGCAGCTAGCATTTTAAGTGATTTTAGGATGACGACAGAGCATCATTAAAAACTTATAAAAGAAATGGGCTATTTTACACTATTGACAGGCTAGTAATATAAATTAAAAAATAAGCCACAGAACCTTCTTACAAATGATCAGTCCCATGCATAACACAGTGGGTTAGAACTGTAAACCAAAACAGAACTCACAGAACTCGCCCTGTCCTTTAATCCCCCTTCCCCTTCCCCCCAAAAAACTGTAGTCCTGAAATGTCTGGAACAGAGCTGATGAAGCAAGCTGGATGGCTGCACCTTAAGGGAAAATAAGTGCCCCCCCTTCCATGAACAGAGCAAGAGCTCACACAGGAGTATGGGGGGTACATCTGCTGATCCCCCCAGTTCTTGATACAGCTCTCTGCACTGCATCCTACTCTGCTCCCTGAAGCTCCAATCCAATGACTCCTTCAGATTTTGGTTTTAGTCATTTGTTAATTTTAGGTTACACATTTTTTCACATTAAATGATAAAATATTGATTTTGCTATCCTCCAAAAGAAGATATTTTTAAAGAAGATTACCTTCACAACATTAGATTTGTGTCTTTCCAAAACCTGTAGGGTCTGTGCAGTCTTGGAATCAATCACTAGTACGAGAGAATGGCATCCATATGCAATCAGGCCTTGCCAGCCCCTAAAAAAAGATAATTGTAATTGTTTATTATGTTTATAAATGATTTGGATGAAGGAATAGAGGGAATACTTATTAAATTTGCAGATGATACTAAATTGGGAGGGGTGGCAAATACAGTAGAAGACAGAGTCAGGATACAGGATGATCTTGGCAAGCTGGAAAACTGGCCTAAAGCAAATAAAATGAATTTTAACAGGGATAAATGTAAAGTTCTGCATTTAGGTAGGAAAAATCAAATGCATAATTATAGGATAGGGGAGACTTGTCTTGGCAGTAGTGTGTGCAAAAAGGATCTAGGGGTCTTAGTGGGCCATCTACTGAACATGAGTCAGCAGTGTGATGTGATTTTGGGCTGTATCAACAGAGGTATAGTGTCTAGATCAGGTGAAGTAATAGTATCGCTTTACTCTGCTCTGGTTACACCTCACCTAGAGTATTGTGTTCCATTTTGGGAACCACAATTGAAGAAGGACATAGACAAGCTGGAACGTGTCCAGAGGAGGGCAACAAAGATGGTGAAGGGTCTGGAGACCAACTCCATTGAGGAAAGGCTGAAGGAGCTGATTATGTTTAGCCTGAAGAGGACACAACTGAGAGGTGATATGAGAACCATCTTTAAGTACTTGAAGCACTGTCATATAGAGGATGGTGCAGACTTGTTTTCTGCTCCCCAAGAAGGTTGGACCAAAACCAACGAGTTGAAATTAAATCAAAGGAGTTTTTGGCTAAACATTAGGAAGAACTTCCTGACAGAACGGTTCTTCAGGAGGTGGTGGGCTCTCCTTCTTTGGAGGTTTTTAAACAGAGACTAGATGGCCATCGGACAGCAATGCTGATTCTATGAACTTAGGTAGATCATGAGAAGGAGGGCAGGAAGGGTTGCATCGGTGCTTAGTTCTCGTGGCCCTTTCTTACACACCCGGGGAAATACTGATTGCCACTTTGGAGTCAGGCAGCAATTTTTCTCCAGGCCTGTTTGAGCAGTGATCCTGGAGGCTTTTTGCCATCTTCTGGGCATCGAGCAGGGGTCACGGGGGTGTGTGGGGAGGGAGGAATTTGCTAATTTCCTGCATTGCGCAGGAGGCTGAACTAGATGACTCTGGAGGTCCCTTCCAACTCTATGATTCTATGTACTTAATATTCCTTGAAGCTTAGCTGAACTGCTGCGGCTGGGATCCCCAAAGATGACAAAGCTGTGTAAAACACAGTAACTGCAGGATTAAATCTCATGATCCAGAGTTTGAGTTATTATATAGCTAACACCTATATCCCACTAAAATATCTTCAGTTTACCATTTGTAAGAGGATTTTTTCCAGTCTTCTAGTGAGGACAGCCCTCTGCCTCTGTTCTATGTGGTCAATGCATATGCCCCTCCTCCAGTACCTTTCAGGAGCTCTTTTCTTTTAAGTGTCATTTCTACTGTTGCACCCATCACTCCCATTCAATGTTTTCATCCCTGTTTGTGTTCACCGCTTATTTTATAAACATGCCTTCTTCACAACTGAAATCTCCCCACCCCAGTTCTGGCAGATTATTAAAGTATTCTAAATGATAAAGGCACTAAAGTATTATTGGCAGCTTCTATATCAATATCCCCATTTTATAGGTGGGGGACTGAAAGACTGGGTTACTTTAGGCCTTTTATGACACCACTAATATTAGAAGCTGGACTTCCATCCATGTTCTTATGCTATGCTCTATTAGTACCAAGACAACAGGGGACAAAATTAAAATGAAACAAAAACAACTACATATGTCTGGCTTGAACTATTCATCAATTTGAACAAAGCGTTATTTTAGCTGGCATTTCTCTATTGGCAAACCCCTATCTGGACATCAGCTTTTTAAAAAAAATTATTTATCATTTTAACTTCACCATAAACAGGTGTATCTGGTACAATATTAAAATTACATACAGCAAGTCTATCACATTATTTTTTACCTAACCAGGTATATAATCTGTTCCATCTTTCTCTAAACAGGTCATCATCCTTCCCTTGTAGTATTATTGACAATTTGTCCATCTCCACTATCTTCTTTGGAGGATATTCTTTCCGATTTCCAATATTTCGCAAACATAATACGCACTATACGCACTGCTGTTAATATATATGTTATTACATATTGATCCATTTTTTTAACCTTATCTGGTAGTATATTTAACAAAAAGACTTCTGGTATATATGGTAATTCTATGTTCACAATTTCATAAATTATTTTATACACTTTGCGCCAATAATTTTGAGTTATATGGTACCTCCACCACATATGATAGAAAGTTCCTAATTACATCGGCTGATCTGGTCCCAGAACAGTAGAAAACATCAATGAACAGCGGGGCCTCCTTCTGGCATCATTCCTGGCTTATTTGCTTGAGCATGAAACTAGGGAGTTTCCTGATAAGATGCATAAAACTTAGCTCTTTGCAGACCTTCTGGGGCCAGATGCTCTGCTTTACACAAGAAGATATTTGTTTTGAGAACACAGACTTTTTCTCTTTCATAGCTCAACTTCTCAGATGTCCTTCAGCTGAAGAGCTTATAATTTCAGATGTACATTCCATTCCATTATTTTCTGACTCTATTACAATAATATTCTAATTAATTCTACTCTACGGCTCTGCTGTCTGGGCTAAATATCAAAGTCTAAATTCATTTTAATCAGACTCCTAATAAGGCACAGTGACAGCTGTCATTCTACATGTCAAGAAAAATATCAAAAATCACAATCATAAATCACATTCACTGGTCCCTTGTCCTACAAATATGGCAAAACAAAGTGAAACAAAGAGTCATTCATACATCATAGTCCCATCACTAGAGTTGCTAACTCTGGGTGGATAAATTCCTAGATATTTGGGTGGAGCCTGGGAAGGGTGGGGTTGGGGAGGAAAGGGATTTCAGTGGGATACAATGCTACACAGCAGTGGTTCCCAAACTTTTTCAGGCCACCAATCTCTTGGTTCCATAAACTGATTCCAATGCCCCCTATGCTACCCTATAAAAAAGCATTATTCAGAATAGTGATTTTTATGACTCACTAAAGAAGAAGAAGATAATAATAATAATAATAATAATAATAATAATAATAATAATAATATTCAAAACCGTAACAATTAATTGCATATTTATTCAGAATCCAGTTAATCCGCTTTAGCTTAACAGAACTGATTAACTTGATCCAATGATTCCAGGTTT